CAGTTGTGCTTTGTATTTATTCTCGCAGATGACCAATTCAAATGAATATAAATATAAGCTAATTCATTAAAGCAGCTATTGTAAAATCGTGCTTGGACATCAGTCATCATATTTTAAACCAGGCACAGTCATTGTGCTTTACAGCTATTATGTAATTTTCACAAAGAATGTTTTGTTTTCTCTTCCCCAATTATGTGAAATGGTCAGGCTTCATAACTCCACTTTTTTAGAGAGGTACAGATGAGGGATCTGAGACTTCTGGAGGTCAAGTTCTAAAATCACCTAGTTCACACAAGCTAAAGATAAAATTTGAACCCAAGTCCTTCCATTCCAAATCCAGTGCTCTTTAATAATCCCTATTTTCTCTGTGCAGAAAATGTCAATTTAGAAATGAAGGCGAGTAGACTACTAAGAACATCACGATTAGATGTTTTCTTTAGCATTTTCATTCTCAGTACTAAAAAATATAATAAATTAAATAAATCTGAGCTGGGAAGTACTGGGATACCCATACATACAAAAATATAAGAAATACTGACCAATAAGAAAGTAAATCTTTAAAAGATCAATAGACTCACTAAAAACCATTTCCAGAGGGAAAATATGTAAATATCTCGCAGTGGAGAATACAGAATTGAAGGTGGATAGAAAGAACCAGAGAGGCTTCTCACTTGCCCAAAGCACCCCAGCTGGTATCAAAGCTGGAGCCAGAATCAAGCTTTGCCTTCAGCCTGCTTTTCACCCAGCCAGGAAAAGTACTTTCTGCCATGATAAGTTTAAGTTCAATCCACCGTTACATCTCAATTGTAATTATATAGTAATTTATGTGCTAAGACTTGACTTTGAGAGTCTCTGGGGAACTGCAGTTTCATTAGAATCACTTGAATTGCTTGGCACAAACCCACTGCTGACCTGTTTGAATCAGAATTTCTTGGTAGGACCTTGATACCTGAATTTGTAACAAGAAAATCCACCCCAGGTTCTTTATGAAAGGCAGAGTTTGGGAACAGTGCTCTACAGATGTACATTTTAAAACAGACACAGAACTCTCCCTTTTCATTTCTTCTAAAGAAACCCTCTTGCACCCTTCCTGTAATCATTTCTTGACTTCTGACCCTCAGATGCCTTTCCTAGGCTCATTCCAAGATGACTGAAGAGAAACAGCAGTAAACGGCCAGAGGGATGGGGCAGCTGGGAATGAGGAGGCTGGGAAGGCCGGCTCAGGCCCACTTTCACCCTGCATTGATGTGGTTCTGATACTTCCTCATACAGCTCTTTTTACAGAAGACGTGAAAGGTCCACCACAGTTCTGCTGCAGCTCTGAGCAGAACGCTAGTAGCTAGTTCATCTAGAGCATTCCCCAGAGCTAATGCAGACATGGCGAAACAAATGGATAGGGCATAAAGGCTGGGTTTTTCAGTTTGGCTCCTATACCAACTAGCTGTGTATTCTTGTGAAGATAAATTCAATTCTGGACTTCGATTTCCCTCATTCAGAAAATACATTTACCTCAATCACACATACACACAGATATTGCAAACAAGGTTTCATGAAATAATACCGAACTTTGTGTGATAAACTCTAATAATTTCTCTTCTATTCTATACTTTTAACAAATGCATGTAGCAACCTAATAAGATAATTCCATGACCCACTGCGTAATGAATGTTTCAATGTTTAGAAAAACTCTAACTTAGTTGTCATATAGGCTTTCTCCTAATGTTAAAGTAGAAAATGCATCATATACACTTATGTATTCTTTCTTATGCTTTCAAAGTTTCCTCTCTGTAGGATTACATTATTGTACATGTAGTAGATATTAATAGAATATAAAAATCACAGTCTAAATTAATAAAGTTAACTAGTCAATTAAATTTGTAACAAGAAAATCCCACTGATATACTGGATTTAATTCACAAATTAAATGAGTCAAGTTAACTAATCCCTCAAAATTCAAATATTTCGTACTTTAAATTAGCAAACATTTAAAAGCTAGTCTGATGATCAGTTACCAAGAAAACCTTAAGAGTTCCTACCCACAACCATTTTACTTGTTAGTTTTTTGTTTCTTTTTCTCAGGCACATCTGGAAGATAGAACCGGTGATGAGGGAGGAAGCGACAGTAATGACCAGAAGCCAACCTCTTTCCTCCCAAACACATACTTAGAGGCTGACATCATAGCTCCGTGGCATGCCCCACAGATGGAAAAGTAACTGGATTTAAGTCAGGAAATTTAACCTCTATCAGATGAAGACAGAAAAGGCTTCGGCAGAGAAACTCACACCTGTTATGCCAAATAACTAGAAATCAAGAACCAAATACTGTCATTATTGCTCTGAAAATAACTTCTGCTAAAGCAATAAAATAGAATGGGGGCCAATGATTGAGCTTCCATTGATCTTTTTCCCTGATACTGTTTTATTCTGCAGGAAGTATCAAAAGTAAGATGACAACTGAAAAAAAAGAGTCCTAACACCTCTTTGTTTCCAGGTGGATGCTCACGTGGACTCAGACTGCCTAGAGGGCTTGCACCTGGCCTGGCTGTCACCAGCCCAACCCCCACAGCAGCCCACTAAGCCCCGCCTTCCCTGAGCCATCCTGCAAAAGGAGGTCATGCTCAGCAATTCCTGAGAGCCAGTCACTCACATCCTGATCTACCGGAAACTGAGAACAGGCTCCAAAATGGTAAGTTGAGGGTGCCATGTGGCTTTCTGCATCCAACCATCTGGTTGCTATTCAGAATATTTGACTGTGTTAGTCAGACAGATGAGTTCATCCAGCAAAAAAGCAGGTGCACAGTGACCAGCCGGGCTTGGCCAAGGGATGGAAAAGCAAACACTGGTCTGTGATTTCAGCCTCGTCTGGACCAAACAGAGGCCAAAGTCATGATCATCACCCAGGGAAGCAGATCGGAGAGTCTTTCGAGCCTGCCACTTCGGGATTTCCTTCTCTTTCACCATTTGTCTTTTCTCACGTTCTCCTGCTTTATCAACTTCCTTTTCTGTCCAGCTTGCCTCTTTCCTTTTTCTCAACTTACTTTTATCTTACCTGTATCTTATCTTTCTGAAAAAAATTTTTAATTAAAATTTAACTTTCACATCCTCTCTGCCATATTATTTCAACTGCTTTTGGTTCGACCTGCACTAGATACTACCTTATAGGCTAGTGTGGTATATTAGCAGAGTTGTTTTAGTCATTACAGAGCTATGTCTTACTTTGCACATTGTTACGAAGGTTTCCATAACATTTTCAGGAGGCCTCTCCTGCATCGTATGTTATCTAAGATACAGCTAGTTTATTCAAGCAGCAAATTAAACTTGTGTTCATACAATTGATTAGAGCTGGAAGACATCTCAGAGATCATCAGATCCAATCCTTTAATTTTACAGATGAGAAAACTGGCCCAGAGAGTTCAAGTGACTTGTTCCAAACCCTAATCTAATATTCAGTGTGCTTCAGGCCAAATATATGAGGCAGATAAAACTACGGAAGTATGGAAAATTGTGTGCACACTACAATTTCTTGAAAAGCCAGTTTTGTTCTTTGGATGGTAAACACCTGAATGAAGTCCAGCGACTTCAATAACATAACCTATTGTAATTGCTGGAGATTCAATTCCCCGTGTGCTTGAGCTGGATAACAAACTGTCTCCTAGAGAAAGACCTACGTGGGGGGGAAGGTGTATGATTCTCTCATACTCAGGATTCTGCAGAAATCTAAAGGCATGCTACCAAAACACAGAACTTGACTTGCTGCAGACAAAGCAGTTTTGCCTGAAATAAAAAGCAATGGCTAGCCACTCTGAGGAGAAATACATGAGAAACTGGGCAGGGATTCTGCGTGGGAGATTTTTAAGTTGTTTGTTTGTTTGTTTATGGGAGTAGAGCTTTCAAAGATGAGCACATAGTGATCTCTGGACACAAGACACTGTCAAGGGAAGCGCATGCAGGCACAGGAAAAGCTCCCGGCACTTCCTGAAGGCAGCATCATTGAACTACACCATGTCTGTGAGCAGTCGAGAGACTGTGACATGCCTGGGAAGCTCAGTCACCATACGTCTACTGTAGATCTACACTGGAGAGTGTTTTGGTCCATCCAATGTCTTTCTAAATATGATGCAAAAGGAAAACCCAGACTCTCTAAAATGATACTCTTCCCAGGTGGAAATAGAAGCCGAAAGAAACGCGATGCACTCAGAAATCCCATAGGCTTTGGGGCTGGGGCACCTCTGGTTTACATATTACTTCAAACACCTTCCTTGCAAAGGATATTTGTTTCCTATGCTGCATTTGCAAAGAGCAAAGTGAAAATTAAATAATAGGAAAAATACAATAAATTAAATAATAGGAAAAATACAATAAAAGGAATAAATGCTGAATAGTTTGTTTCATTAAGTCAAATTTAGAAATGTATATTTTGCCAAGAAATTTGACATTTCCTGCCATAGAATACCATCTGGTAGCCTCTTATTCTTACCTGCCATTGTCCTTTTTCAAACTTCTTAAAATAAATATTCGGTCTCTTTGTTAGAAGAGATGAAATTTTATTTTGTGGTAGACTTTTAAACTCACAGCAAAGTTGTAAGAACTAGCTCTTGATTTCCTTTGACCTGGCTTGACTGCATTTCTGTATATTGCCCCCATTGCTTTCTTCCTGTTTCCCTCTCTGACTTGCTCACTCCCTCACTCTCTGAACCACTGGAGAGTAATTTGAAGATATCACATGTTTTCCTCCTAAAAACATCAATGTATAATTCCTAAGAACAAAAACAGTCTCTTACAAAACCACCATACAATTATCAAAGTTAGAAAATTTAACATCGACACAATATTTTTGTCTAATCATTTGTCTATTTTTAATAGAGAAGGCACTAAAGTCACTATACTTTTTTCTAAATACAGCTTTCATTGGGTGCCACAGGTTTGAGGATGAAGTACTCTCACAGTACTACTTTGTAACAGAGTAAAGGAAGCCAAGCATACAAATGCTGTTTTGTTACCTGTTGATGCATTATTTGCTTCATAGTTTATTAAAAAGCCTTCATAAGCAAGGTCAGAGTCAGCCACAAACACAAGCATTAATGAGTTGCTACTGCTGGTTAGAGAGGGTGGAATCGATTTTCCACAATATCTATTTGAAACAAAGAAACACAAGTTCAAAAACTTTTAGTACACTTGAAATGATGTACCAAAAATTAGGACATAATAACAACAACAACAACAACATCCTCTATTAATCTTAAAAACATATATTTCAGGCACAAACATTTGCAAAGTTGCTGAACATCATCCTATTCATGAACACTTTCCTGAAATGATTTTTCGTGTGTGTCTATATGTGGGACTTGTCATGTATAAGAAGTTTAATGAAATTAGAAATTATAATATATACTAGGCTGTCATATAGCATATTAATGAACTTATTAATAGAAATATAGTGAACTTATACAACAAAGGGAAACCACATGTCACAAAGTCATAGACCATAGACTCTATAGTCAGCGCTATCACTTAGCGGCATCATGACTTTGAGCAGAGCACTCAACATCTATGACTCAGTTTTCCCATCTCTAAAATGGGACTAATGATAGTACCGACTTCATAGAGTTTTTTTGAGAATTGTATCAGTTAATATACCGTATATAAAGAACTTAGGACACTGCCTAGAATAGTAAGCCCTATATAGGTAAAATGTATTACTTTTAAACAGCTGGCCTACACAGAGGTAAGAGTTTAATTATGAAGCTATGTCAAGATTTTGCTGAATAAAAGCAATTTTACTCAGCATTGATAAAAGTTGAGTTGTGATAAAAGGCATTATGCCACAAGCTTTCTTCTAGAGAAATACCTGTAAGGAGTGACTAGAAAATAGAAATCTCAAATCAAAGAACATTTGGTAAAATTAACCAAATGGAATGATAGGAGAAAAAAACAGAAACCAAAATAAGAGAAAACATTGAATATGGGAACTGGATAAGTTAATTTCTGAAGAAGAAAAAGAAAACAATTAGTATCTAATACCCTTTCAGTGTTAAAATAGATTTGATATCTTGATCAAAATAAAGGTAGGTGAATTAATTAATACTTTAAATGTCTATATATGCCCGTGTCTGTCAAATTGGGAAAGATCATTATAGTAGTTCATGCCATTCAGTAAAAACTATCTATTTTTCAGTGATTATGAATCAAATACCATAAAAAAGAAAAATAAAAGAAGAAAGTTTTTAAAATGAAAGATTAAGACAAATAAGAGCAAAAATGAATGAGGAGAATAAAAGAAAAAATTAGTTGAAGAAAATAATGGATAAATGGAAAATGTTTAAAAATGGATAAGAAAAAATAAAATGCAAGAAAGAGTAATAAAAAAACATCAGATTTTCATTTCCAATAAAGATGTAATAACAGGGGCTTGATGTAAACTTGCACCTGAAACAACTAAAAACATGGGAAAATATATAAAACAATGGCTTTCAAGACACTGGGTATCAAGCAGTGAAGGGCAATGACTCTTCAGAAATGGAAAACAAGTGACTTTAAAAGAAAAACTGGAAATGATCAAACTGTTTCCAAGTGACTTAACTGCATCCCAAAACAAATCTCAAGAATACTTAAATCTCAAGAATACTTATAGGAAAACAATAATGTCCAGTGCACAAAAACACAAAATTGAAAATGTCTGGTATCCTATCAAATATTGTCAGCGTGAAAAGAAGGAGGAAAGTATAATCCATAATGGGAAGAAAAACTTATCAACTAAAACATAGCAAGAAATGCCACAGGTGACCGAATTAGCAAAGACATTAAAATACTGTAGCCTACAGATTTAGGAAGCTAGAGGAAAATATTAATGTGTAAAGTAGAGATATGGAAGATATAAAAGATAACCCAAATTTAAAAACTTCTAGAAATGAAAACTACCATGTCTAAGATGAAAAATACACTTGGTAGGATTAACAGCAGAACGGACATTACAGAAGAATAGGTAAGGGTACTTGAATACATAGCAATAGAAAGCAAAAGAAACTCTCCAAAATAAAACACACAGAGAACAAAGACTCGAAATCAAAAGAACAGGGTATCAGTGAATTGTGGGACAATATCAAATGGCCTAAGACACAAGTAATTAGAGTCTCCAAAGAGAAGGCAAGACAGAATTTCAAGTATTTCAAGAATGAATGGCTAAAAATGTTTCAAATTTGATAAAATTATAACCCCTTAGAGCCAAGAAGCTCAACAAAACCTTATACTGACTGATAAAAGCCAGTCAAAAAAAAAAAAAAAAGAGCATACATAGTATGAATCCACTTTTATACAATTCCAGAATATGCAAACTTATGGTGACAGAGCACAGGTTAGTGGTTTCATAGAGATAGGGGTGAGGGGCAGAAGTGAACAATTAGCATGGGTAGGAAGAAGGTTGTAGGAGAAATGGATGTGTGCAGCATATTGATTTTGGTGATGCCTTCATGATGTACACACATGTCAAAACTTAATTATGAAAGGCCAGTGCTACAGAGTAGCCAAGTAGAAATGGTCACTGAGAAGCATGTTGATCTCACCTGGTTTTTAAAACATAACATGTGGATTTTAACATCCTTCCTTCATTGCAGCAAGAAAACTTTTGTGTTTAAAAAAAAAAAAAAAAAAAACTAAATAATTTCACCTCCCAAGAGATGTCCCAGAACCAATGTCATAAACATCCAGATAGTCGCTTGTGCAATTGTAATGAAATTCCAGATGAAATCTTCTGAATATCAAATTAATCAGGTAGCCAGGTTGAACGAATATATACCAGGTACAGTTGACACCATGGGGGTAGATATTTGGATGGCCAGGACTTTGAATGGTTCCTGTTGGCTCTGTAAGAATTTTTCCACATGCTGTTGAAATAAAAATAAAATTATCAGAACAAGTAACCAAGAAGCTACCTGAAATACAAAATAAAATAATCTGATCATAGACTCTTAAAAGCTCAAAAAGAAAAATGTCTCATATGCCACTTCAGATAATCTAGTTTTCTCTTATTAATAGATATCAATTAACTATTGCTATGTGCTGATTAAGAAATATATATTTTGCCTTTGAATATACCTTAAAATTTTTACAGTGTAGGTGGCTACACATCTACAGTGTAAATAAATTTTTCATAATAATTTATTTCCATTGTTCACTTATTCTGATATAAACCCAAGAGACAAAACTGAAGTGTCAATCACTTACCCAAATCTGCAGTACTGAAGTGAGCCATGAAACCATGATTTTCGGTAGAAGAACTTTTCACAAATATGACATAAAGAAAATTGTACACGGATGTTATAAATGAAGGTATGTCTCTGCCACAATATTTTTTATTTTCAGTAGAACCCAAAATGGAACTGCTACCAATCTAAGTAAAAAAGATATATTCAAATTTATTTTGTTAGATATTTATTTTGGAAGATTGCTTCAAGAATAATTATTTCTGAAATGTTTTTGTATTAATATAGTAAAATTCAAATTCAGTATATTTTAATTATCCCAAAAGAAACTCTATGCCTGTTAGCAATCGCTCCTTATTCCCCACAAATTTCAGCCCCAAGCAGCCACTAATTTACATTCTATCTCTATAGAATGCCTATTCTGCATTTCAAATAGATGTAATCATACAACATGTGGTCTGTTATGACTAGCTTCTTTCATTAAATACAATGTTTTCAAAGTTCAACCATGTTATATAGCATATGTCATTACTCCTTTGTAATGTCACATAATATTCCATTGTATAGACACACCACATTTATTAATTCATTTGTCAGTTGATGGACACTTAAGATTGTTTATACTTTTTGGCTATTATGAATAATGATTGTACTAACTCACGTACAGATTTTTGTGTGGATATATCTTTTTATTTCCCTTGGGTATGTACCTAGGGTGGAATTGCTGGATCAAATGATAATTCCATGTTTAAATATTTGAGGAACTGCTAACTCTTTTCCAAAGCAGCTGTACCATTTTACATGCTCACTAGGAGGGTACAAGTATAAAAGCACTCAATTTCTCACATCCTTGGCAATACTTGTTATTATCTGACTTCTTGATTACAGCCATTCTAGTGGGTGTAAAGCACTATCACACTGTGGTTTGATTTGTATTTCCCTGATGATTTATGGTGAGCATCTTTTCATGTGCTTATTGGCCATTTGTATATCTCTTTAAATATATGTATATTCATGTTATCTGACCATTTTTAAAATTAGGTTATTTTTAATTTTGATGAAGTCCAATTATTCTATTTTTCCTTCTGTTGTTTTGCTTTTTTGTGTGTCATATCTAAGAAGGCTTTGCCTAACCTAAGGTTACAAATACTTACTCCTTTGTTTTCTTCTACAAGTTCATGGTTTTAGCCACATTTAAGTCTATAATCCATTTTAAGTTAATTTTTATGAATAGTATAAAACAGGGGTCTAGTTTCATAATTTTGCATGTAGATATTCAGCATCACTTGTTGACAAAACTATTTTGTTCCCATTGAAATGTCTTGGCACTCTCTTCAAAAATCAATTGACTATAAAAGTATGGATTTATTTCTGGATTTTCAATTCTGTTCCATATTTTATCTTTACTTAAATAACACACTTATTCATTATCATAGCTTTGTTCTAAATTTTGAAATCAGTACGTGTGAGCCCTCTAATTTTGTTCTTTTTCAAGAATACTTTGTTATTCTGGTTCTCTGCATTTGCATATGAATTTTACAACCAGTTTGTGAATTTCTGCAAAAGTGACAGCTGGGAATTTGCCTAGGATTGAATTGACTCTTTAGATAAATTTGGGAGTATTGCCATCTTAACAACATTAAGGTTTCTAATCCATGAACATGAGATGTCTTTCCATTTGTTTAGGTCTTTAATATCCTTCAACAATGTTTTATAGTTTTCAGAGTACAGTATTACATGTCTTTTTAAAGATTATCCCTCAATGTTTATTCTTTTTCATGCTGCTGTAAATAGAATTGTTTCCTTGATTTCATTTTCCAATTCTTCATTGCTCATGTATAGAAAAAGAAATGACTTTTCTATTTTGATCTCGTATCCTGCAACTTGCTGAATTTGTTTATTACTTCTAATACTGTGTGTGTGTATGTTTCTTATGATTTTTCTATATACAAGATCATATTATCTGTGAATAAATAGTTTTACTCCTTCTTTTTCATTCTGGATGCATTTTATTACCTTTCCTTGCTTCCTAGCTAGAATTTCCAGCATAATATTGAATAGAAGTGGTTAAAACAGACATCTTTGTATTTTTACTGACCATTTAATGTTTCGTCATTTAAAATAATGTTAGCTGTAGGTTTTTTTTTTCTTTTTACAGATGCCCTTTAGCAGATTAGAAGAATTCCCTTCTATTCTTAGTTTGTTGAATGTTTTTATCATTAAAAGGTATTAGACTTTGTCAAGTGCTTTTTCAGTATCTATTGAGGTAATTGTGTGACTTTCTTCTTTCATTTACATTAACCAATTTTTGGATATATATCAACCTTGCATTTTATGAGCTAAATCCCACTTGGTTATGGTGTATAATCCTCTTTATATCCTGCAGGATTCAGTTAACTAGTAGTTGAGGATTTTTATATCTATATTCACAAGTGATAGCGGTCTGTACAAACTAGTTTTCTTTCATGTAACTGATCTGAAGACAGTATGACACAGTATTGTTTATAATATACAATCAAATACAAATATTCGAATTTTTTTACTCTTACCTCAACATAGTCTGTATCACAGAGGGCAGAACTTCCAGTTTCAAAGCCAGTGAAGTTGAGAAGAACTACCTGGCTTTGGGGCTGGTGGATGGTCCACCTACAGATCCTTTCTCCTGGATACACGTTCGGATAGAGGGGCGAGCGAAAGACCCCTTCTCCAGTTAACTCACCTCCACAGGCTGTAAATATAAAAATAATAGCAATGTTCGTCCAGAAAGAAATAATCCTTTCCCTTAATGCTATTGCTAAGTCTAATTACACACAAGGATATAATGAAATGTGACATTACTATTAGAATTTTTTTTGACACTTGTGGGCATAAAATGACTAAAGTATTTCCAGAAATTAAAGTGTTACAATCAGAGAATTTTAGGTATTTAAAAATTAAGGCATGTGTTTTCTTACCAACTTGATAAATAGCTCTGAAACTAGCTCTTGCAACAGAAGCATCCAATCTAAGCCTGATCCAGATATTATTAGTAATAGATGTGATGGGAGAGAGCGTTTCATTGCCTTTGACTTTTCCAAGTAAAGTTTCACCATCTCTAACCTAAACAGAAAAATAAAATGGATTTACTGTACTCTCAATCAACAAAATTACCTTGGCAGCAGTGGCATTATTTGGAGAGGAGAAAATGGCAGATTCAAAATGAGTTAGAATCTAATTTGGGTTACATACTTACCTTATATCTGAAAGTAGTCAGCAGGTCATTTTCTACACAATGCAATAACACTAAATATTGATAACAAAATCTTAAGTTAAAAAATCCAAAAGCATAAGAATTTAAAAAATGTTTTCCTAGTAATTGCCACAATATCAAAGAGGAAATAAATGTACAATTTCGGACTATTCAGAAAACAAAAAGTGTGAAGAAGACAACATATCAAAATATGCAAGTTTTAGCCACATCTGTAAACAAAAGAAGTCACAGACTAAACTGCTTTCGTTACTGAAAGAAAAACAGAAAAGTACATGAAAAAAGAGAGACCGGGAGACTCTAAGAGTCGACTTAAAAATTAAAAGAAAGTATTAAAATGAGAAATAACAAAGTAAAAATAAAAGCAAAACTACAAATAAAATAGAAAAGAAAGTAGAATTGATAAATATATTCAAGAACTGTTTTTCATGGCAGGTTAGGGGATGGGAATATAAAAGACATCTTTGGCAATAAAGGTAAAAGAAAATAAAGAGAAAAGAAAATAAGCACAAATATGCAACATTTAAAATGACAAAGGTGACACAAATATACAGATACTGAGGAATCTATTTAATATGATAATTCTATGTAGAACTTCATGCTAATATCGTTAAATGTTTGAAATGATTATTTTCACAAAAAATATAAATTACTAAAATTCTCTTAGGAACGATAAAATTTGAATAGACAATCAGCCATAGATAAAATTGAAAATGTTATCTAATAATTACTTCCTCTACAAAAAAATCCCAGATGTTGTACCTGGTAAGTTACTTTAAACTTTTAAGGAACGGATAATTTCCATATATGGTTTGTTCTAAAGCACCCGAAAATATGGAACAATTCCCAACTAATTTTTCTCAGAATCATCTTACGAAATCCCAACATAGATATTGCAAATGAAAACTATAGATTGATCTCACCTATTAATATAGATACAAAAATCCTAAACACAGTTCTAGAAAAATAAATTCATTCCATTTTTAGGCATTTAGTGGCTAGGGACTAAAGATACTAAAGATACACTGAAATGTGAGATTGTCATACACAACGGGAATTTTCCACTGTCCTATGTGACATACATATTACTGACACTTCTGTTACTAAATGTGAAATCTAGCTCTATTTTTCATACTAAATACAAAATACATTTGCCCAATTATGATATACCCAGAATTTTCCAGGATTACAAGTAGAGAGTAAGTTGCAAGTTCTTGTTTTTTCTCCTGGAAATCTGCCAAGAGTTAGTCCCCATTTCAGAAAATCTGTCACCCACCTGCACAGCCATGTCAGCCTGTGTTTGCACTGTGGCATTCCTAATAATTCAGGGAGCAAACAATTTACTACTTCATCTTCAAGTGCAGCTTGCCCAGGCTTTTAACATACTAAACTAAATATATTTTTTGAATTGTTTTCTCCTAAATCTTATACTTATAACTTTATATATTTGTATATAATGTGTGTAGTGATGTTATATCATCTATGAATTTCATTTCGGAAAAGTGAAAGGGTTACATAAAAAGGTCTTAAAGTGTGGAAAACCCTTGGCTTAACTCAAAACTCTGAACCCATACAGAAGGCTATAGAATATTTCTCAGCAAAGATAACCTTAAACTGAGATTTAATCGATTATCCAAGCCAAGAAGAACGTGCAAAAAAGGGAAAGTTTTGAAAGTATGATACTCAGAGCTAGGAGGTGGCGGGGGTGCGGGGCGAGGCAGATATAGTAACAGTTATTCCCACCCTTAACTAGTATAAATTTCTAGAAAATAATTTGCCAGTATGTATCAAGAGTCTTCAAAATGTTTATAGTTTCAGACCGTATAACTCCACTTCTAACTCTATCGTAAGGAAATCATTCTAGATACAGGCAAAGGATCCATATCAAAGTATGCTCTATGACAACAAGAATTGAAAACATTTCCAGTGTCTAATAATAGGAGGGTGATTAAATAAATTATGGTACAGCCATATGATAGTCTTACACAGACATTAAAATCACATGCTTCTCCAATGACTAACCAAACCAGTTCCTTTCTATAAGCTGTAACACAAATTTTTTCCATACTGTCATAAAGGTATGCTAAATATCATGCTAAACAAATAGAAAATCTCTGAAGAAAGAGAAAATTTTTGTGTTCTTTTTAGCACTTAAACACAGACGAATACTTATTGATCCGTTCATTTTCAAGGCAGGGTATGGTGGTTGAATTTTTGTTAGAGATGCAGACATACAACAGTTCTTAGAAACCAGAAAGCATGAAGCACAGAGCAAGATTATCTTCCTGCTCTCTAATCCTCCAGAGTTCCATTCCCTTCTGCTAAGATAGGAGTCTCTCTTTTCTATTTTGCCCATTAGAAGATGACAAGGAGGAAGAAAAACAGCCAAATAGCATCAGAGCCGGCTAAATTAGGCCATTCCCCTGGGCTTCACTAATGAAATTCAAGGGCGTTAGCAAGGAGAAAGGCAGCTGCGGTCCAAATGTTTGCAGAGGAACTTATAGTGCTCCAGGGCCCTAAACCTAGAGGTACAATTGATTTTGGCTGCCTTTCTCTCTCTCTGTGAAAATGAAACCTTATTAATTCTGAAAGCCTGCATTCTCCCTGGATCTCAGACACGGCAATACCTTAACTGCAACCTCTCTGAAAAAGACATTCAAATAAAATTCATTAAATGCTCTAAAGTGACCCCGAATACTTTTGCAGCACATCTCTCATTCAATATTCTAGGGCTTATGAATTTGCAACACCCTCCCCTATCCCCAACCCTCCACACACACCAAAGAAAACAAACCCTCTTTGCTTTGCGCTTGTGCACTGGGATAGACTGAATTACTCCCTTGCTGCTCACTGCTGTGTGACTTGCGAGTCCTCCTCATGGAGAATTAATACTTATCTTTCCCACTGACTGTGGGCTTGACTTGCTCTGCCCAACAGAATGTGAGCAGAAGTGACGTACCAATAATCTCCAAGCTTTGGGAGTCATTGCATGATTCAACCACTTCTTATCTGCCAGAGGCCCAGGGACTGACTGGACAGGGGACAGATCAGCAGAGCTGCCACTGACTCCCAAGCAACATATTAACATGAGCAAGGAATAAATGTACATTGTTGTAAGCCACAGACATTCTTTTTGCTACTTTTTAAAATGTTTTATTGTTATTGACTGTTATTGCAGCATAATCTAGAGAAAGATGACGCATATTTGAATCTGGTTTGTATTAACAAGGAGTTTTTCCTTAAGAAAGCAGGCGAAGCCATGTTACAGTCACTTGCAGAGACGTCACACCGATTTCATTCTTTATAGAGGGTCATATATGCAAAGAAATGACAAAAAAAATTCGATATTCTAGTGTTCTGCGAACCAGGCCCAGATTTTTCCTTGGTTGCCTTATTCATCTAGCAAACACTGGTTGTTGCAGGCCCAAAGACTCAATATATAACCTGTGACCCATGATTTTTAGCCTGCAGCAAGAGCTAAAATTAACTGGGCCAAAAAACACAGTTTCTCTGAAATTTTAAATTTGAGATCTAGATAGAGCCCAGTCAGCAGTGAGCTTTAACATCTGTCATAGATCAGCTTCCAAAGCCACATCTTAATGCATGTGTTCATCTGTTTGTATCTGCTATGTATCTAGATTTGTTTTTATATAACAACATAAAAAAATCTATTTGAGCATTAAATTTTAATTCACAGCAAACCAAACATGCTGGTACTTGGGCTTGACTCAATCAAGAGCTGTAAACAGAACGCTGCCCTACAGTAGTGTTTAACCTGTGGCTTCTTGTGAAGTGAGCTTCAGGCTGAAATGCCCCTCAATCCTGGAAACTAGCCGTAGGTTAATCTGGCTGCACAGGAAAGTGGATGTGGCCCCTCTCCAAATGAGAGAATAAGAGATGACAGAGATACATGGGGACTAAATATTATTTTCTTAGGTGATTATCCTCCATTATTCATTACTATGTTTCATGATTTCATTGTTAAAATTTTAAAGCATTTTATGCCCCATGAAATTTTAAAGCTTTTTAGTGCCCCTTCTAATATCTCTATCAATAAATTTACTTTTTATGATTTTTTTTAAAGTCTGCTTTTTTATAATTAGGAATACGTGTTTAGTTTTACCTGGAAGTATGTTCTTACGTGATTGCAAACTCCAGTATGTCACCCTCTTCTCCCCATCATCGTCATCAGAATAATCACATGTGAACTTCAAGTAACGGTTCACTGGTGTGCCGGGCACTGTCCTAAGAATGCCCACGTCGTTTCTCTTTTCTTTTAGCAAAGCTACGTTCTTTACCTCCATCTGCAAAGCCATATAAGATCTAGCTTCTGCCTAACTCTTGCTTCTAGCTTCCTCTCCTTTGTGATTCTGGTCTAATTCTTTGAGTTTGCCAAATTTGTTTGTTTTTTTTTTTCCTCAGTTCAGTCTCTAAGGCTATGGTTGGCACCTCTGACCTAGAATCCTCCTTCTCTTGGCTCTTTGCATTGCTAACTCTTTCTCATCTTCAGACTCAAAATGTGACATCCTCAGGGGAGCTACCTCTGACTATTCCATTCAAGTCAGTAGCCTTGTTACTCTTAGTCACGTTTCTTCTCTTCATGATACTTTTCCCACCTTGAAATTATGGAGCTGTGTGCTTGCTTGTTTACTGTCTATTTTACACACCCATCCCCTAGCGCAGTGCCTGGCATCTAAGCTGTTTGATAAATAATTAGAGAAGGAATAGGTAAATGAATGAATGACCTCTTTTAATTCTCCTGAGATGAGTGTTATTACTGAGAATAGAATAGTATTATTACTGAAAAGTAATATTACTATTCCTATCACAGACAAGGAAACTGAGGCTGACTGATGTTAAATATCTGGCCTTCAGTGAAACAGAGAGCTGAAGTTCTTTATCATGTTTCCACGCAATATTGTTTTCGTTTATGTGAGGGAATACTAGCCATCCTCTCGATTTGTCCTAAGAGACTGTAGCATCGTTGACTGATTGCTGCCCTTTCCCTAGCCTCTTCCTCTCACTGCTCTCCATCTCACTGTTCCACAGGTCTGCGGTCTCCACATGAGCACACAACTCCTTTCATACAGGGAGGATCTATCGTACAGAATAGAATCAAAACTGGGTGGTTCTCTCATCTCAGTCTTCTTCCTGGCTCCCACTTTGTCAACACTTTGCCTTAAAGGAAATCTTCATCAATCATGTATGGTTCACAGAAGACCTTTTAAAAATCCCAGCTTTCTGAAGAAGCACAATCCTTATGAGTGGCTTCGGCTTTGCATCATGAGTCTTATGTTCAAAGAAAATCAAAGTGGTGCAATTTGTTTACACTATGATACTTTCTAAACAAACTCTTGTTTTAAGTCTGGTCTTTTCTTAAATATTACAGCAAAATAGATAAAAATAGACAATAAATTTCACCTGAGCAATGGCATATTTTATCACTTCATGAAAGAGTACCAGGATGGCTGGGCAATTGTGGGAAAACTGTGTTGACAACAGCAGAGCTAAGAAACTAATCAAATGTTTCCAGCCTCTACCAGAAACTCAAATCCAGGATGCTAAAGAATGCAAACGATAGAATATCATATTTCACTAGAAAACAATACTCCTCGGCCTGCTCTGGTGTGTTTGCTGCAGCTACATTCCAGCTTCCGTTGTCAAAGGTCTTATTCTTTCTCTGCCATTTGGGTTTTTACCCTTAATAACTATTCCGTGACTCACAGCCATGAGACTGACCAGCACAGCCCCTTGAGCATAACGAGTACCTTCAGGCAGACCAAGTCACAGCCCTCCCTCCTAAGGCTGGAGCTGAATAGTTTCAACGCCTAACAAAGCGTGAAAGGAAGTCCTTTGTAAATCTGAATTCTTCTCCAGACCACTGGAGAAGGGAATGCTGTGTGGGGCCGCTGGGAGTGGTGGAGGAGGGGAGGAGAAGAAAGGAGAGAGGGGAGGAGGTGATAAAGGTTCAGAGAGATCAGTCTTCAGTGTTCCAGCTTATATTCTCCCCTTTCCCAACTTTGTGTTTCCTTCCTTAAAATCTTAAAGCTTTTACATACAAATTGCATTTCATCATGTCTCACAGGTTTCGATACATAGCATTTTCTCTTTATTTTTTACATTGTCTTTCATTTCATTTTCTACTTCCTTCTTTAACCCAGTAATTAATTAGGAGAGCGTTTATAGCTTTCCAAGTAGTTGGACATTTTAGATTTTTTTTACCAATAATTTTTAATTGTATTGCATTATAAAGAGATGTGTGTACAATTGCTTCTTTGTGAATTTACTGGGATTGGCAAGAGGTCTAAAATATGATTAATCTGTCATTTAATGACACTTATAGAATAGGTACGCATTCCCTATTTTTCAAAAACCAAATTTAATGATACTTACTTCTGCTTATCTTATTAATTACAGTTTTCAAATTTCTATGCCATTTATTTCCGTTTGCTTTCCACTTCTAAGAAAGAACTTCTCCAGAAGCCCTCTCGTTGCCTCAGAAAATACTTCTCCTTCTCCTCCTCTTATCAGTCTTTCTCCTGGTGTTCCCTTTTTACTTCCCCAAAGTCTTGGCCAGGGTGGGAGATGGATGATATGGGATTAGTCAAGGAGATTTGGTGGGGTGAACAACTCTATTCATTTCCTTCCTCATCCCATTTCAAGCCCAGCCTTACTTAGCATTATATAGGCTTCTGAAATTACTATTCAACCCACTACTTGCATTCTCTGGGATTAAAAATTAAACTTTCATTACTACCTTATGTGCCTTTCACTCAGAGATCTTCACTCAGTGAAGGCTTCCATCACTTATGAAATATTAATGAGGGGTTCTGCTTTTTATTCTAGAAAGATGCTTCTGTCCCATTCATTGAACTGCTCTATACAATTTTAAAGCTCTCTTAGACAAAAATAGATGAACTAACAGTTGATCTGTTCCTGCTGTACTCTTTTGTTACCAGCCACATCGCACCACCCGTGGGCAATGTGCATCTAGCAGTAGAAAATTTAGTTGAGAGAAATATATAAATTCAAGAATTAATACATAAATGTGTGCTTCTTGTTAAAAGAAAAAGAAAATGAAAGATATGCTACACTGGGTCTGAGCAATACCACATTTATTATCTTTTTAAGTTAAATTTGATTCTGAAATAAATTATTATGGAACTCTCTCACTGAGTAGAAGTCTTTCAAAACCACACTATACATAAAAGAGATGCGCTAGGCAATGCTATCTTAATCTTCATTTAAAGGATATATTCACATGGTAAAAAGACTAGAACCACAGAATGAGATCTGAGATTCTTAGAAGTGCATCTAGTCACACTCAAAAGAAAATTCCCTATTATCATTCTTTCACATGTCTATAGAATTCCCTCTCTGTTCTTCATTCTTTCTTTTTTGGTGGTCTCTCTCATAAACAGAGTTAGTAAATGGCAAAGTCTCTCTTTTAACCCACCAATCTATCTGAAATACCTTTTTTTTTTTCATTCCTTTGCTTAAACATTTCACTTTTGGGGCATACCTTTTAAAAATAAAACCGTCATTGTAGAGAACAATACGTTGAGTCATATAAAATGCCATCTGCATTTGGTTCTAGTATCGCTTTTGTCCCTGCCCACTGACTGAAGCACTTAAAAAAAAAAAAAAGTGGATGTACATTTTTAAAAATGAGTTTAGTTCATAAATTTCCCCAATAGATAGATTTGATTTAATGGCAAAGAACTTTGATCTAAATCAATATATGTCTACATAGAATCCAATGTAGGTTCATCTAAATCCTATGTAACAATAACTAGAATTTGACATTTGTGACCTTAATTTCCTCATTTGTAAAATTAAGGATTTAGATTAGATGACCTCTGAGGTCCTCGATAGTGTTAAAATTCTACAAATCAATTGGTTGCATTCCTTTAAGATGGCTAAAGATATAATAGAAAAGCCTATTCAATTATTCAACTTACTATACATGACTTGTCTTTCTAATAATAAAGTTATTTCATTTTTTCATCAACGAGCCTTGAGGGAAACTTGATTAAGACTTTGAGTGTGTGTATGGGTACATCAGAATATTGATACTTTGATGGCCAACCATGAAAGGGTCTCATTGGCTGTTTCTGAACTGATAAGCTCAAGGCAGGAGTTGGAACTACTAAATTAGATTCTCAGCTCCACTGCTCCTCAGACGTGCAACCACGAGCATGTAACAACTTCTCTGGGCCTCAGTTTCCTACTATCAAAATAGGAATAATAATGGCTATTGTGAAAATTCAATGCATTAACTTATGTAAAGCATGTACCAAGAGGCAGTAAGAAGACAGTAATTGTTACCTACTTAATATATTACAGTATTTTGAAGTCTTAGAGGAGCACCTGGTGCATGGTAAGCATTCTCTAAATGTGAGCTAATTTTACTGTTCTCAAAGTAAAAAAAAATGTTGGAAATTTAATTTTTATTTACATAAAAATTTCTAAAATTGCTCCATAGTGTAAAACTTTAATGTACTTTATGAGAAACTCTAGAAAACATAAATCAAATAAATATGCATATTCATCTCACTTCTGAGATAAAAATCTCTGAATTCAAAAAAAAATGCATTGCTGTGGTATCATTCTTCAGCTAAGTCCAGATCTTTTGCTAAAATTCTTTGTTCTCTTTCTCTACATGTCAAGGAGGGAAGAGGGCAAGAGGTTATATAAGTTTTTCCTGGGAAAATGAAGTGGTCATCAGCAAACAAAATTGTCTCTGCCTCTCTGAATTTATATAAAATGACTGCGCTCAACAAAAACCGTTTTGTTTCTCTTGCTCAGCTCTTTAATTTGTGGCTTGACCAATAATTAAGCAAAAAGAAATACTAGGCCAGGCAAACAAAAACTGCCTTTTTGTTTCAGATATTCTTGTTAAAACCATTACACACACTTAAATCAGAATTGAAGTTTTCTGAATGAGAGTAAGCAGAACCAATGAAGAAAAAGAAACTTAAACAAGAGTTAGATTTTAAACAAGAGTTATTCAACGCTTTAACTTAACTCTCTGCCACTGACTAGCTGGCTCGCCCTGGCAAATCCTTTTACTTCTCCAGTTGAGTTCCTTCACCTATAAAACTGTCCTGGACAATCTCGGAAATCTGTATCCTTTTAGCAAATCCTATTAATCTTACTTACTGGCAGTCAACTTACTTATCAGGGCTCAGTTTAATAGCTTGTAATTTAGCGTTATAGCGTTTTGAGTTTCTAGTGCCAGCTTTCATTTTTGTCCTTCGCTGTTATATTACCAATCTCCCATTTCACCATCCATAGATCTGTTTTTGGCAAATTCTTCCATACTCTCTAGAACAGTTGTTTTCAGATGCTAGCCTGCTACAGAATTATCTGGAGGGCCTGTTAAAACAGATTGCTAGAGGTCCTGGTTCGATTAGTTGAGAATTAGGTACAGAATTACATTTCTAACACCCCGATCATCCAAGTGACCTGGACGCTGCTGGCCCAACAACCAAATGAAGACCACTGCTTTCCAGAACAGAAAAACTCTGAAAACCATCTAAGGGGCACCGAATAGTAAAAGTTACCTCGATGTAAGTGTGAAAACAGCTGCTCTGGCCTTCTAGCTCCACGCTGGTGAAGTTGACCTGTATTTGTTCTCCCAAGGGCTGCTCTACAGTGTAGACACACTGAATGATGTGAGAGAAAGGTCCAGACAAGTCAAGAGAGAGAAGACCCTCTGGGTCTGTGTAGTTTCCTCCACAAGGCGGGTCCACTGACGAGAACAGGAGAAGGGAAAGGTCACGTGGATGGCTAGTCCTCTGACTTCCAAGCATTAGATAAAATTTTTAAAAGCATACACATATACATGCAAACATAAACCCACTTTATTCACCTTGTACAGGCTTATATATTAATATTTTTTATCTAATCATAAGATTTCCAGTTTGGTGTGTGTTCGTGGGACAGCCATGGAGTGCCTAAAGAAACAGGTGTAGAGATGTGTGACCTAAATTCCAATCTAACAAACATCCTTCTCTACAAATTGCTTTTAAAATGCTTTTATAATCTCCTTCATTCCAAAACAAAAAAAAAAAATCTGAGGCAGTTTATGAAATAAATGTAACAACATAAAATATATAACTATAAAAATGAATCAGATTAAAGGAATAATGAATACAGAACAGTAAGACGTGGTGAGGGGAAAGTCGATATGCACACAAAACAGGTATGGACTATACAATTTACAGAAGATCGGCTGCAGATTCAGTCTGAAGCCAAAGAAAATGGAGAAAGAGGACCAGTGAAACGATGTTCATTGTTATTTTCCCTGATCTTGAGACATAAAGAGTGTTTTTCCTGTGAATTCTCACCAATGCACAATGATGTCTATTTAGAATAAAATAAAATAAACCCCTAAAATAAAAATCATAGAGCATTTCATTGTTTTTTGTTGGCTTGTTGGTTTGTTTTAAGGTATGAATGCCAATTAAAGGCATAATAGCTATAAAACCTGACAAATTTTAGGAAAGACTGCATTTCTCTGATGACTAACCTCCCTCATAACAAAACACTAACAGGTAGGGAACAGATGTCTGAATTATTGAATTTTAGGTGCCTCACACTTATCCACCATAATGTCGATCTCATAATTTAGGGATCGAGGGTTACTATAACATTAATAATAGAGCATTGGAAAGATAAAGAAAAATCTGGCATTATGAGAGAAATGTTTCTAAATACATGTTAAGAAAGATACAAGTCTAAGAAAGTAAAAAATAACCCAGATATAAGCATAGCACTGAACTTCGCATTCATATTAAGCTTCCAATTATCAGGTTACTTACAAGGTGATGTTAAGTAGGTGATATGGAAGCCTTGGTCATTCGTCTGGTTGTCGGAGTGAAAATGAATTCTGGCAAAGGGACCTGAGGTCTGGAGTGGCGGCGCAGAGAGAGTGCTGCAGAATTCCCCAAGAACGGGGTCCTGATGCAAAGGACCATCTCGAATCTGAAACGACAAATTGAATCATTGAGCTCTAACGGTCGGATATTAGCAAACCAAATCATCTCGTACCTTAACTTCAGAAAACCAATCATTTGAAATGGGTCTGGGAGGTTTTCATTTATATATGCATCCGACACAAGACTGGGGTTCCACAAAGGGTGGGCTCCTTCTCCCATCACTCCTGATGCCTTATCGCTGTCTGCATGTCAGTTCGGAGACTAGAGGAACATACTTTGAATTTTTCTCATAATGTAACGAATTTCAAAGTTTTCTTTCCTAGGTTTCCCCGCCCCAGATATTTGTTTTGCAATTATGAATCCCCAGTAATCCAGAAAAAGAAAATAGACTGAATGCCAGCAATGTCAATTGATTCACAACTTGGTCTAGGTATTTGGGAAAATCAGAGGTGGAAAAAGTAAGTAAGATTAGACACAATAGAAATATGGCTTAATAAATTTTAAAAGTGCAACTTTAATAGTAATTAAGTATCACAACAATAAAAATGTGACCTTAGAAATTCTTTTTTAATTTTTTTTAATCTATTAAATAATCATGTTAACCATTCGATAATTGTGTTATAATTGCAAATTCTGTACTACATAAAACATCAAGGCATCAGTGGACTAAATAATCTTTTAATATGCCCAATTGTATCCATTCAAATTACTTTTTTTATTGGCAGCAGAGTTATAGGGCAGCATTACTTGATTCCTATATTTAACTCATTCCTTGCAATATTGTAGCTTGAAGAGAAATGAGAGGCATTTCACTATTGTCAGAATGAGTGATACTTTCTAATATATGTGTACCCAAATTAATATGTAGGAATGAAAAAAACTGCTTGTAATTTTAATTTGATGGGATTTATTGAAAATTAATTCCAAGAAAATTCACTTTAATGTCAACATTGAAAAGATTATGTTGATGAAATTGTCCAGGAAGAGGTAGATTGTGCAGTCATTCCCAAAAGTTTCAAATCCATTACAACTGCTAAATTATTAATGACTTTAACTTGTGGACATCCCTGTTTGATGGTCATACCCTTCTCTCCTTTATGAATAATTCCATAGCATTTTATTCTTTTCTAAGGAACTTGGAAAAGCAGATTGTCTTTTATCACTACTATGAGAGGTACTGAGATTTATGGTGATAAGATAAAAAAAACATAAGAACTCAATCTTCTCAATGATCTTTTTAGTCTACAAATGGAGAGCAAAATTTTTCCTATACCTATATGCATATGGCATTTGAATATAACAGCCTTTTTCCTTCTTCTACATTTTAATCATTTACTAAAGGTAAGGAGGAGGAACACAGGCTGACTCCTCACCTCCCAATGACAATTATCAATATATTCCAGCAAGGCAGTCTCTTTCCCAGATTCAAATGGAACCCAGAAGAAGAAGTAACAAGCGGGCACATTTATTAAAAATAAGGATTTAGTAAGATTTAGACATTGGCTGTATACTAAAAAATACATCCAACTAATGCTAATTAATTGTGGTCATCCATGAGCATCACCAAACCATAGTTCCCTGAGTTCTAATCATATTATGATAAGTTCTATCTAAACACAATTGTTTACCTCAAGATAATCTTCACTGCAATCATCGTGGTACTCCAGACTCAGGGTCCCAAAAGCAAATGTTATCAAAAGGCCAGGACTGGTTATGACTTTCCAGACACAATCTCTTCCAGGGGGATAGTTTCCAGGATATCCCGGAGACTTGATAGAACCATATGTACCAGTCAGGACACCTCCACACTCTAAAATAGGAAGAAAAAATAACTTTACATTTGTAAACAAGCTATAATTTATGAAGAATGGTCATAGCCTTTGCTCTGAAAGGCCCAGCTTCATTTAAATAACTATGTATAGTTTTGGACACCCTCATAAATTAAACAAGACCTTCGGTTTTCCAGTTTGATAACGTTATCAATCTAGAACTAGCAATTGACAAATAAATGAATCACCCCTGTGTTGAGCTCTATGCTTATCAGCCATCCTATGGTGAGATATGATTTAAAAGACAGTGCTGAACTGTCTGAGAGATGAATAATGGGACGATAGATTTTTTTTTTTCCACTTTGAGGGAGGTTCATTCTGTATATTAACTATTTCAAAATTTTGAAACTTCTGTCAGCTTCTATGTCTTTCTACAAATCAGATCATTTTATACATCAAAATAGTTAAGCACTACATAATTTTCACTTGAGAAGGTTTCTTAACACTATGATATAGTCAAAACATTATTTTATAAGTGAATAAATTCAAATTTCTTCTATGGTGGTTGAGCCACTTGCCCAGGAATGAAGCAAGTGAGGGATTAGGCCCGGCCCTCAGACGCCTACTCCACCACCTTCTCCATTACACCCCACCAGCCCTTAAAGTTGCATATCAATGACTGTAAGAATCTTTTCTTTATTAATACCCACATTTATTTAACCAAAAACCTGTGGTGGCTTATGAGAAGTGCTACTGCAAAATCGAAAAATAGAAATACTAAATAAAAATCTAGACTGCAGTAAATATAAATTAGAAAAAACTAAATGGCATTTCAGATATGCAAAGTATGAGATTTGCATAGCTATGCAGGTTATTCAAAGAAAAATTTTGCTGCTGAGGCAAAAAGTGACACAAATTAGTTTATGATTCTCACTGCTCCTAATGAGAAAACATCTCAGTTGCTCAGACAAAGACTTTATCAAAACTTAGTACTCAAAAAATTATTCTATGGGTAAAAAAATTAAAAACCATAAGAAAAGTGAAATGTTAATGGCAAATTGGGAAAAATGTTTAATATAAAATACAAAGTTAATAATATCTCTAATATATGAAGAGCTTCTAAAGAAATGGAGACATAAACAGTTTGCTGGAAAAAATTCAAATGCCTTTATACATATGAAAAGATGTTCAACCTCATTCATATAAGACACAAATATACTAATAAATGGAAAATGAAATCTTAGAAACATAATGTCATTTAACATTCAAATATCTAGGGAAAAAACTAGCAAATGATGTGGAATAAGTAAACACCACAATCTATAAACCATTGCTAAGTTAAACTAAAAGAGAACTAAATAAATACAGAGATAGTCCATGTTCATGGGTTGGCAGGGTCAATATTTTTAAGAAGTCATTTCTTCTCAAGTTGATTACTGATTCGATGCAATGCCTACAAAATCCCAGCAGACTAGGGGGTGGGATGGGATTAACAAATCAGTTCTAACGTGAAGGATCTAGCATTTTTTAAAAGAACAAAATTAGAGGATGTACACTACTAGATTTCAAGTGTCAGTAATTAAGTCAATGTGGCACAAGGATAGATAAGTAGACCAATATTAAAAATGAAAAATTCCAGAAATAGATCCACAGATTTATCAGTAAATAGATTAGAGGTTTGGTATACTTTTCTTTCTACATTTTAAAAATTTCACAGTAAAAAAAAAATTTTTTTAATAGAGCTCCAAAAACAAAAAACAGCCACAAAAAAAAATTATCTAATGGTCCTTGAGATGAGGAGCACTAAGTGAAGGCGTGGACAGTGTCTTCAATGACATTCCTGCAGTAATTCACTAGTGGAGCTTATAAATATGCTGTTCATCAATTTCATATGGGACCCATGAAGGCTCGTGTTTTTGAATCTCTTCCATTTCACCAACATTCTGTTATTTCCGAGCACAAAATCAAGTACAAATTCATTATAGATTTATTTGATTTAAAAATAATTATAAAAAAATATATATGTACTGAATCTCCAAACATTTACTCTTACCAAAAGTTTTTGGTTAGAGTAAATGTTTGGAGATTCAAGCTACTGATCAAAAGTTTTTTTTTAATAACCTCAAGATTTTCTTTATTTTTCTCTCTGTTCACACTCACCCGGTTGCTGTGTTTCCCATCTTATCCTGAAGCCTCTCCCATTCCTCAAAAGTTCAGAATGGAAATGGAAATAGAGCGCGTTGTCACTGCTGAGGAGCTCACGCGGGGCGCTGGAGCCACAGAACCTTCCGAGCTGAAGCGCTGCGGAGGAATCTCCGTCGTGAATCTGCAGAAACTCGTGTGGGCAATTGTTCGCTGATTGCAACTGCAAAAACGGGAAAGTGATACGCAGCACCTAAAAGTATAAAGGTCACAATATGTTATTTTTCATTTCCGTGTTAATTCTAAAGGACTTCTCCCACTCATTAGGAGGCATATGTAGTGAGTCACTTCAAGAGATATACCTATAATTTCCTAATTATCCACAAATACATATGGAAATTCTACTTATTAAATGACTTGTATTAAAAACTGCTTAAACCTAACTTCAACTAATATCAAAATATATCAAAAACCTTTTTTTATGCGAGATAAAATTAAAATTCCACCTTTTTCCCCCAGATGCACAATCAACTGTACCAAAATCTTAATGTTAATTAGATTTTTAACAGTTTTATTGAGGTATAATTGATATACAAAGAACCGCACATATTTAATGTGTACGATTTGATGAGTTTGGACATATGCAAACACATATGATACCATCGCCACAATCGATGTAATGGACATATATAATACCACCTAGAGGTTTTTTTTTTTGGGGGTGTGTGTGTGTGTGTTTGTCTATTTTGTGTGCGTGTATGTCTGTGTGTTTGTGTGTGCGTGCTAAAACACAGTCTACGTTCTTAACAATTTTGAAGGGCACAGATCTGTAGAACTATTCAACTAGGATAACAGAAACTTTATACCCCTTGAGCTGTATTCAATGGGCTAATGAACTAGATTTACCTAGCTTTCATTATATTATTAAGTTCATTAAACAAAGTTACTTCAAATGTATAGTTGACAAATCAATAAAATACATTGGACATTTGAAAAATCTACCTTGAATTAAATTTAACTAATTTACCACGCACAAGAATTTATACCTTGATCGCCTGAATAACCTGTAGCATGCACAGAGATGTTCATCACTGACCCCAGAGAGGCTGATTCCTTAGGGGGTCTCTAAACCTCTCAGCAAGCTACTGATGTCCAGCCCAGACTGGCAGCCTCAGGTGTGGACTGAGTAGGCAGAGTGTAGGCATGTGTGAAGTTTGCAAGTCTTCAGTGGTTGCATATCATTAACAGATGAGTAATAAGAGTGGAGAATGGGGAAAGGTGGCATGAAGAGTTCTGAGCATACAAGGAGAAGAGAATAAAGACAAAAATGTGTCTCCAAGTTAAAATGTTAGAATGTACAGACAAATAGAGTAAGATAATTAATTATACATAAAAGATTTTGTAGCATCAACCTCATTTAAAACAGCGAAACAACCAAAAGAAGGCTGTGGAATTTAATTTCCATTATGATCCAAAGCCTCAAAGCATTCAACTAATGAAAAAGGATATTGGGACATTTTTTAAATTCTGTGCTAGGGTATTTTTACATCATGTTTGCCCTTGAAGCAATTCCAATGAAAATCAAATAAATTGTTCATGAATTGAACTATTCCAATTTGTACATAATCTCCACTATATTATATAAATTGTGGTGGGGATAAAAAGATAGAAAATCACAATAATCAAGAAAAGCAGAATGAATTTTCTTAGAAATTAATAATGCAAGTACAAATTTTTTTCACAAAATACTTTTTTCTTGAAAAAAATGTTTTCAATGTCAGGAAACAGAATTCATGAAAACTAAATGGAAGGAAGGAAATTAACATACCAAGTAGGACATTAATTTTGGAGGTTTTTCTATTGTGGGGTTACCGGGCCTCAAAGAGCCCTCTTTTCTCAAGGGAAAAAATGTTTTCTGACCTTGTACATTAGCTTGCTGGAAAAAGTTAATATGACTGCAAAGGAAAACCTTATCTATTCAGATATACAACTTTATTTCAATGAGTCTACAAGTTGGTTGAGAAATAAGTATTTGGAAAAACTGAATAATTAATATTGGGGATAAAAGCACTAAAAGACTTAGGCTCAGATCTTAATGTGAAGATTGTTCATAAAGAGGTTTATAGTCATTGGTACTGAATGGCCTGGGTTCCAGTCACTGCAGCCACTTACAAATCACATGCTCTGGACAAATTTCTCAGCTGCCATAGGCTCCATCCTGGTATGTAAAACGAGGATGATAATTCTTATGTTTTAGAGTTATGAGAGTTAAAATACAATGATATAATCTACGAGGAACAATTAGCACAGCACATTGACACATGTAGTGGCCCAGAGAAGACACTGATAAGAAAATAATCTTAATAGCAGTTCCCATTTTTGCATAATAGTCAACATAATCAAGTGATCATCATCAAACACTACTGTCTCAGTAAGAACATGACTTTACAAATCATTGGCTTATAGTTGTCCAACCCATGTAGAGAATCATCTATACTGGACAAACCATGGACTTTACAACCAAACTTGATTAAAACCCGACTACTCCAATTACCAGCTAAGAAATGCGTGTGTGTGTGTGTGTGTGTATGTGTGTGTTTGTGTGTGTGTGTGTTTTAACTACTTAGCTTCTCTTCGTTTCCATTATCTCATCTATAAAATGATGATACTCTTAGTTATTTCAAAGAGTTAATGTAAGGTTAGAGAAAAGTATGTAAAATATCTAGCCCAGAGCCTGACACTTACTAAGTCCTCACTATATGACACGAATTATCACTCTGTGTACTTCATGTAATATATACACGTATTACATATCCGTGTGTATAAATGCAACACACGTTGCACAGGAGACACTACTTACCTTTCCTTCTTCAGTGCGGATAACCCAGAAGCAGTTCACATCTTGAACATAACCAACATCAGGGACCTGGTAGCTAAAGCTCCCATTCATGCCCGAGAGGGACCCTCCACACACTGCAGAAGAAGAGAAAGTCAGCTGTGCTTCTCAGAAACCCCAAAAAGGAAGAGGCTAGGCAACTCTAACCCTGCGGCTGAAGCATTTAGAAAGTCTAAATAATTAATGTTGGAGACAAAAGCCCTACCGTTCTTTCTTTTCCCTGTCCCCCTTTTCCTTTGACATCCACCCAAATCCCACCTCTCGTTCAAAGTCCAGCTGATGTCTCCTCACCTCTGCCATATGCTTCCCTGCCTCTTCGTGTTTTCTCTGGCTCCCATTCTCTCTGCCCCTGTGATACCTGACTTGACCCAACACAGTTTAGTTCTTATCTTTAGTTCTTGTCTCTTCTCTGCCATGTTATATTCATCTTGTCTCCTCACTCAGAAGCTAAGCAGATAATATGTGGAGATTGTATTTTATATTTTCTTATTTCTCCACAGGGTCTCCCACAGTGCTCAACACATAGTAAAATCTCAGTAAATGTGCTGATTCAGAGTCAGGA